CCCCAAAACCCCAAAACCCCGTGCAGGCCAAATATTAACAAAACTGAATTGATTATTTTTCAATCAATAATGGAATTGAAATCTAATAAAACTTACAAATATGCTTATACTATTTATAATAATTATAGCTTATTTTAGCCTCTCTATTTTTAAGAGACAACTATTATATTAAGATGATTAGTATTATTCTAATATACAGGAGCTTTTATTATAATTTAATTTTGAATTTTAATGCAAGACATTTTTTCTCCCAAGATAATTAGCAGGCTAAACTGGGCAATTATCTATCAAAACCCACTTACCCCTTGAGCTGTCTATATCTTGACTTTTGCTGAAGGACTCATCGTCTGTTTCTATGCTATTTCAATGCAGCAGCATATGATTGGCTCCATGCAAGACGCTAGTGAAATGCGGGGTATTTCAGAGAGTCATGACCATATAATTTTCAGTTTAAATTTCATTAAAGATGTAGATGGATTTGCAATGGATATAAGCAAGAACAAGCTCATGGAATCAGCAATTATCATAGCTATCTTTTAAACAGTACTTATTCTGCTTTTATTCGCACTGCTAATTGTGCAGTTAAAGAGATCAATAAACTATTTAAGCGATCTGCCGAAGGGCACTTGGTACAAACTTACAGGGGTGATTCTAGTTGTCTATTCTAAAATATTTTATATACCACTCTTGGATATCATGCTGAATAATGCTATAGTCTCCTAGAGAAATACCAATGACTCTCAAAATATCGCATTCTTGGTTCTTAGTGTATATTCTATATTTGCTTATGCGGGGCTGATGTTTTACTCAAAGCGACTTTTAAAGTTGAATATGAGATCTGGTGATTAGTTGGCTTCCTGGAGCGAACCTACTTCAAAAATAATTTATATGGAATTCCTTATGAGAGTCATTGTGCCCATTATACTTGCTTTTGATCCAGATGCTCTCTTTATCTAATATGAGATCATTGTAATCTTAATTCTGAGCGCCACATATTTGATATTCTTAGTAATGTTTAGCTCTACTTTCGACAATATTCTTCGTTATATACAACTAGGATTTCAAGTAGTACTTGTCTTCATTTTAGAGATAGGGGTGATCAAGTATTTGATAACCAACAATGACAAAAAAGAAGGTATAATCCTTTTAATATTCTTGTTCTTCAACATCTACTCAGTGCTTGAGCTCAAGAAGTGGCGGGAAACTAAACTCCTGCTCGCATTTAAGCATGGATAAGTGACCAAACCTGCAGAACTAGAACAAGCATTCATGATTTTAATAGACTTAGTAGATAAATGCCTTCTTGAGATCAATAGAAGCAACCATAAATATTCCTATTATCAACCCAAATTGTACAAAATGATTGAGAATCACATAGTAAAATGCAATGATTCAAAATGTCTATGCATTAACTATGAGATTTTCATTGAGATGTTTCAGATTAACTACTAACAAGGTCAAAGTTAGACTCTTCTGAGTCATTAAAAATTCTAGAAAATCTATGACATCATGTTTAAATCTGCCAAATCTAGTTCCATTTTTACAAGTGTTAGCCGCATGCTTGATAATTAGAATGGATTCAGAGATTACGATTAAAACTTAGAGTAAGATACAGTATTAAGGGCAATGAATTCTGAAGAGAATGATGAAATAATTGAAGAGAATTCTGCCGATATAAGTGAAATTCATTAAGAGGAAGATGAAGACAGTGATGATAAGACCTTTGCAATTGATGCTTAAGAATCACAGCGATTTTTCATTGTGCATTTCATCAAAATATTCTTAGATGAGCTTCATAACAAGCATCCTGATTCTCCTATTATACAGAATGCATTTAATTACTACTACCTGTTTTTAATAAAAAAGCCCTAGTTAGCAATATTCCAACTCAGGAACAATCTTGCATTCCACAAGTCTAGTTCTTGGATTGACACGATATCACATAGTTTAGATGAGATGTACATATTGCATCATTATGAACTATTTCAGCAATAGAGTTTAGATTATCAAACTTCAAAGATTGATGCAGAATAGTTCATCTATATAAATAACCTCTACAGCAAGTTTCATTAAGACATTGAGGATTTGAGTATGAATGCAGTCTAATTCTGGAAAGGATTCACATTTGATGAGCTGGATCCGTTCTCTTAAATTAAGATTGGAGAAAAAATATCGAAAGACATCAAGTTACTCTATGATAAATTTTCTAAAATTGAGAATACATTAACTCAAAAAGATCCCAAGTTATACCTATGGTTTGCCCTAGTTTAACAAAAGATAATGAATGATACAGATGGTTATTAGATATTTATTGGAAAAATGAGGGAGATTAATCAGATGAAGAAATTACTAAACTTAGACATGAGAATTAAAGGCTATGACTAGGAATCTGGATTTGTGCTAGTAGATGGCAAGACTTAAACACAAGGTCAAATTATTATGATGAATAAGATATTAAGGCGATGGATTAAGAGAGATGAGGACGAGATAAAATTCCTTAATATTAGTGTAATTATGCCTAGTTTGATTGAAGGGCATCACAATACTTTTATGGATGAGTATAACAAAAGTGGTGAATCTAGAATTCTTAATAAAAAGATATTGCATTTCATAAAAGATAAGAATCAAAATTTATTCCCAGTCGAGGTAATGGTCAAATTTCATTATTCTTAGCATTTTGATTACTGTTATGTTGGTCTTGTAGAGCCTATACATACAATGAGGCCATTTAGGGATGATAGGATTCACAAGATAGACCAGTTGGTATTTTTAAGTATAGATTGGTAAAATGGGTAAATCAAGGAGACATCTGAGAATTTTTCAAAACTATTGAAACTCTAAGGTATTAGTCAATCTAATAATATTGGCGGGTATTAGTTTCAAGAGAAGGTGATAACTTTAGACGATATATTTGAGAATTTCAATTTCAAAGAAATCAAGAACATCAAGAGAAAGCAAAAAGTCTAGAAAAATTTCCATGAAGGCATTTATAAGCTAGATATGTTTGAGTTTAACGATGAATTTGACAATAGGAAATTTTTCAGTACAATGTAAAGATCAATTTTTGGTAAAGTTGGAATATATTTTGAGTCCTACAGCAAAGACTTATTAAAGCTAGGATTTGTAGTATTAACTGTGGAATCACAATTTCTAGATATGAATACAAGCAAGGCTAATAGCACATTGATGGAAAACTCGCACAATATTTATCAATCAGATGTATTGATGAATAGAGATATAGATGAAGATCCCGGTCTCAATGATGAAGATAATCAGTCATCTGCCGGTTCTTCTCAATCAAGCTCATCTAGGATTACATCATTTGATGTGAAATCATTCCACTCTTTTTATTAGTAAACTACACCTCGAATTTTGAAAATAGTACTCTAAATGATACTACTATTATTCATTGCATCAGTTACAATTTCCACTATAAATCTTGGTCTTAACATAAAAAATCAGATTTAGACTAGTTTCGAGATAAGGACTGTCAAAGCCGCATATGATCGTATCAATTATACAATAAATAACAGATTAATACTAAGGGTTCTATTGAATATAGCTAATGGGTACGAACCCAACTCAAGTTCAATTCTAAAGGATAGGTTTAATGAATTTAAGATAATGTAAGATAAAAGGATTGCAAATCTAAAGGAGACTTAGTTCTTTCTTGACAATTCTGGATTTCCATTTAATGATGATTTCTTGAAACTTATAAATTCAAAAGTAATAATGCTTCAGTATCTTACTGAGATCAATACTAATTACGTTGAGAATGTTACTATGAAAGTAGCTCAAAGTTTATTCGCTAGCAGACTGCAGCAAATTAACAATTTTACCCTGCAATAATTCAGAGGCAACTTGAGGGTATAATCATTAACTCCAAATGAAACTGCTGCTTATAGACCATCTATCGATGAACAAACTATATTTTTCGCCGTTATTAATGGAAATTCTGTAATTAGATAGTATAATTGGGTATTTTTATCAAATTACATCAGCGAAACCAAAGGAAACTCTGATACCAGACTTTAGTAATCTATGATACTTACAATCATATCTGTTTTCACTATATTCATCGTGGCTTTAGTTATTTCTCCAATTATAAGTAAAACTGAAGAACGCAAATACTATGCACTCAGATTTTTCCTCAAAATACCCAGAGATAAAATACAGTTGTATATAGCTAAATGTGAAAACTGTCTCAGATTAGAAGAAGAATCAAACTCTAAAGTTAGGAGAGAATCCATACGCAAACCATCCAATGGAGGTATGGAAGATAACAATGATATTGGCGATAACCAAGATCACCATGGTTCCGCTGTTCATGAAAATAGCCTCTACTACGAGGGAGTTAGTCAAATCATTAACTACCCAGACTAGTAGGAGCAAGACTCTGTCGCCTATCTTAATAGTTCATACCGTCATGGAGACTTCAGCAGCCAACGTCCCATGAGGGGCCTTTCTGATAGCTCTCGCTTTGTGTTGCAGGTTAGAGAGCAAAGAGCAGAATCAAGAGGCAAACAAAGTTCTAAGGATTAATAGTCAGTGAATAATTAGAGCCTTGCCAATGGAGTTATAGGGAGAGCTGGAGACAACTCAACAACCACAATGATGAAGCGATCAGAAGCAGATAGTGTGACTGTCTCACAAATGAATCTCAACGACGTTTCGAGACCTACTCAAGCAGATTTAAATGCACGAATGAATGTCTAAAGTGAATAACAGTCAATAGAATCTAAAGATAACATTGTGAAAAAGATTGCCTTAAAAATGAAATTAAAAACCTTCTTTGCCATTGTAGCCTTGACTCTTACTTGCTCTATCTACTTTATTGCTACATTTATGATGTCTCGAACTAACTACATGAATGCATCAGCATCTATTGATGATCTTTCTATTATTTTTGATAAGGACGGTTGCTTTGATATACTAATAAACTTTCTGCGTGAAAATCAAATACGAAATGAGAGTTTAAAATTAGCTGAATATCCTGGCCAAGAAGCAAGTTTGTATTATTTAAAGAGGTGTCAGAAATAAGAAGCAAATTATAGAGATTTACGTAGAACTATCCCAGTCTACCTCGAAAAAGTGAGTAGTTATTTTGAGGATATAGAGTCTAACAAGCTTTGCACTATTATCAAATAATTAGGATAAAATGAATATGGGGAGTTAGTTAATGCATTCTGCTCTCAAGTCCTCAACGGGATGCTTAATAATGGAATTTCAACCACTTACAGCTACTTATACAATAAAGCCTAAAAACTTTAGATTGAGTTTGAAACAGCATAGAAATCTAAGAAAGCAACATAGGATTTTCTAAAAAAACTAATTAATGATACAGAAACTAATGAGATAATAGATGCTAAGACGTTCATTCTAAGTTATGCAATGACTGAACTTAAAAAGATCTCTGTGGAAAGCACTCTTGACTATTTCTAAAACCTAAGAGACCAACTTGTCATCGTCTATGTTATCTTTATTTTCCTCATTTTTGCGGCAATTATAGTCTTTTTCTTGTTCGCACTCCAAAAACTGAGAGATTCTATGTGGAATACCAATTTGATGCTCAAGATAATCCCTTAAGATGCTATGGATAGAAACGACAATGAAAAGATTAAAAGCTTTTTTGTAAGTTGATCTAAATTGACTTTCAAATAATATGGGCTCATTATATAAATCTTGCCCAGTTCATAATAATAAATTAATCAGTTAATCATTAATTTCATTATCAATTATTTAATTTACCCAAAACATAATTTTAACTCATGGGGTTTTGGGGTTTTGGGGTTTTGGGGTTTTGGGGTTTTGGGGTTTTG